CTCTAGATGAGTTTACAGTAGTCCCTCGTTCTTATTATACATCCATGTTGTAGTCCGCTGTATAGAAAACTGTAGTTTCCATAGTTTCCCCACAGCAGCAGACGCACATTCATGACGTCCGCTGGCGCATCATAAACACGTCGGATAGTGAAAGTGCAGTCGGATTCTCTAAAGTACCGCAGTCTCTTCTCCTAAGTCCTTTTGAATTCTCCTATCCACTATCCCTTAACCCCGTGACGTTTCACACAGAGGTCAAGGAATAGACGATAGGGTTAGACGTTAGGAGCTGATTTTTGGATTATCCGACCGCAACCGGATTCTCTAAAGCAGTGGCGGTTCTAGACCAATTTGACTGGGGGGGCCAGGCTGGGGCCAGTTATTTTCTGAGGGGGGCACAATAAATGCAGGACGAAAAAGACAAAGACGGTATGAAGTAATTGCGCATAAGAAAACAATGCAATACAGTTATTGGTATTTGTTTCATTACACATTATGATATGCTTACCTTTAACCTTTGTGTGCTGTTTGGGTCTGTGGGACCCGTTTTCAGTGTTTACAATTTAATTATTTTTAACCTGCTTTATTTGGGGGTGGACCTCACATCCTCTAGGGGGGTACGGGGGCATGCACCCCCGGGAAGATTTGTTTTTAAATGTTGAAGTTAAGTGCATCAATCTGGTGCACTTTGAGCACAAAATAAATTTATGGATGCAGCTCTCAACACTCAGATGAAAGGGAGCTGTATACTTTTCAATAATCCAAACATCTTTAGAATATGATCACAACCAATAACAAATCATTTAAACTTGTTTATTCTTATCTTATGTTACCTAGTTAGCATTCTTTCTTTCTATTTATGCATATTTTACTAATCACTCCCCTTTTAAACTTTTTTTTTTTTTTTTTACTGTCCTATAGTACACATTGGAATGATTTCGTTAGTTCCGCCTATTCTGTCAGCCAAGAAATTGTTTAATCATAAACTCATTTTCAGGGGGGCCACAGGGGGGTCCAAAGTCTGCCCCCCCCCCCCCCCTAGAACCGCCCCTGCTCTAAAGTACCACAGTCTCTTCTCCTAAATCCTTTTGAATTCTCCTATCCACTATCCCTTAACCCCGTGACGTTTCACTCAGAGGTCAAGGAATAGACGATAGGGTTAGAATTTAGGAGTTGATTTTTGGATTATCCGACCGCAACCCTGGACTGCCACATGTAATTTCCCAACTGACTGACACAACTTCCACAACAGTATTTATATATTTGATGTCTGTCCCTTCTAGGAGAGGGATCCTTTCTCAGTAGCTCTTCCAGAGTTTTTCCCATATTTGTTTCCCATTAAGGAATTTTGTTTGGGGAATTTTCTCTTATCCGAAATAAGTGATTTAGGGCTATACAGTTAAAATCGACATGACTTGACTTATATTGACCTTAGTAAATACTATTAGAAAAATTAGACTTAGTTTGGTTTTTAAAGCTTTGAGATGTGCATGCTACATCCACTGTACAGTATGTTAGAGATATCGAGTGTGTACTGTAAGTAAAACATCTGGCCTATTCGAGACATGGTCTTGTTACCAGAGATCTTATAAAAACATGTTGCTTTTGGCTAGCATCGCGTCAGTCAGCAATCACACTTCATTACTTCTGACCGCAGCAGCCTCTGGAGCAATAATTGGCCACACACTTCTCACTCGTTACATCAACTTTTATAATGTGACCAACACTGAGCTCTGAAATCAAAAGCCCAAAATAGGATCGCCGGGTTTATTCTTCCAAATGTTTTCCGGTAAAAGAAAAAAAACAAACACTTTATTTTATGTATGAAACAATCAAGCAAATGCTCTTAAGCTTGACCTTCTCAGGATGTCTTAAAATGATTTAAAGGCTCTCTGGGATCCATGTTAGAGGATTTGGCTTTTACTTACAATTTCAAAGAGAAAGATACTCTTAAGCTCTTTTCGTTCAACTAAAAAGCCTTCATGCTTTTATCAGTTTGAATGGCTCCTGCCGGGACCTGCAGCCTTTCTCAGCTTCACACCCTCTGTGTACACCAAGTGTCATTCTCACTCCCACAGACCATCTATCAGATCAGGCTTCTTTTGAGTTTTTCTAGATGAGGGAGTCCCTCACCTCAAATCACGTTTACATTCTTATACTCTATTTATTTAGCTAAACCACAGGATGTTGTACTCAAACCTGCATTGTATAGAAAGCCTTTTTATCTTGACATAGAAATCTTAACGTCCTGCACATAATAAGAAGAACTGTGATTCTATAACAGCAAATCTTAATAGTTCTGCGGAGACCACACAGCTGACTTGGTATTACACTCTACTGCAGTGAAAAGTAGATGACTTGGAGTTGCACAATATAATTTTTGCCGGGTGACTTGCATTTGATACATTTACGAGTTCATTCCCCAGTGCCATTTCAGCTTTTAAACATGTTTGCCTTATTAGTGGTCGATCTTATGCCAGTTATGTCAAACAGATTTCTTTGGTTGCTGATGTTGGAGATTGCTCCGCAAAAAGAAAACATTGAAACCCAGTCGTTTTTTTTAAGAACAGGCAAGAATGATGTCAATGTCGTAGACAGCCAAAGCATTGGGCTTTCATTTCCCTCGAAAAATGCTGTGCAACTTACAGCAATGCAGTGATAAAACACACTTCCAAATAAAAGTCTGAAGACAGCAGTTGGCCTGTGAAGGCTTTTCCGGAGCCCTGGCAAACGTGAAAATGTGAAAACAGCATCAGAAAGCCATGAGATGACATTTAATACTAATCAGGACAACCATAAATACCATACCATAAATAAGAAAACTGGAATCACAAAAGCAAGCTATAATGTTTAAGTCATGTTAGCTAAATTACATGAAAAATAAAATCTCCCAATATTCTGATAATTAATTATTTCAGATAGTTAACTTGACAACTAGCCTTGTTCACATAGCAGTTTGTCACAGTTTGTTTACTTCCTGTCTCTGTGTTTTCCCACCTTATTGTGTTCACCTGGTTCTTTTGTGTTCTTTGATTTTATTTGAGTTTATGTAGATTATTTGCCTTGCTTTACTATTTGCACCTCACATGATTTGAATCTAAATGACCTTTTTGTCATTTTACTCATATTTTAATACTTAATTTCTACTCCAGTACAACACAATGATCGCTGATCAACAGATTAATTTAGCTTTGTGACTTCACTTTTTCCAAGTCCAACAATGTCAGCTGTTACAAATAATGGTTTGTGCTGATGCAAAACTTTTGTACTGGATTAATAATACTAGAGTTAGAAGCACATTCTTAAAGCGGTTTATGATAAAATCTGATATGAAGCAGATGAGCAAAAGATATATGATCTATTTTTACTTCCACTTCCTTTGTCCATGTATCTTTAACGTTTTTATTCATTTCCATGTGAGCAGGTGGTCTCTTTAGGGGATCCAGGGCCCCGAGTGTTCTTACTGCAGGTACTGTACTCTGTCATATCTGATTTGGTTGAGGTCCAGCGCTGTCCGTCTGTATGTAGCTCAGACCCTCAGGGAGTCCCATCGCCTCTGCAGCCCTCTCCTCTTCCTCAGCTAACAGGAAATGATCCACGCTCAGCAGAGCGGCCTGTTCGTGTGTGTGTGTGAACGTGCATATGTGGAGTTGACAAGTGAAACGCCTCTTTGACATCATAAATATCCACCGGAGACAAACTTTCCTTGGTTCAGAAGTGGTTCTCTGTTTCTTCTATCCTCACACCAACAAAGGACACAGCTTAAGACCCACATAGGTGTTTGCCAGCGTGTGCGGACTCTCTTCACACTCCACTGCTCCAGAGGTCTATTGAACACATTCCAGTGAGGGTGTCGGGTCAGTGCAGGCGCTGAAGGACGCCAGTGGGTTGCAGACTGCAGTAATTTGTTTAACCTCTGATTAGGCCCAGGAATGTCAACTATGAGGAGACACTAAGGGTCCCGACAGCATCGTTTGACACTTTAGCAATCTGTCTTTGCCAAATGCTAGCAAGAGTCACCATTTGAGACAATAGTTACTTTACGTCCTGGGCAGAGAGGTAGTTTAATGTTTGAAACATCTCATTTGGTCCCAAAATAGGATGAATAAAGTAGATCTGGGCCACAGTTAATATGTAAAATATCACATTATTTTGACCAAATACGTTGATATCAATATTGTGACGATACTGTGGCTGCTCTTATAGAATATTTACACAATGAGATTTTGAAGAACATGTGGATTTGGATATGACAAAGTGAATGAAAACATGATCCATGTATATCAATATATTGGCCAGCAGAGGTGGGAAGTAACTAAGTACATTTACTCAAGTACCGTACTTAAGTACAATTTTGAGATACTTTTAATTGACTTGAGTATTTCCATTTCATGCTACTTCGTACTTCTACTCCACTACAATTCAGAGGTCAATTGTGTACTTTTACTCCACTACATTATCTTACAGTAATACCTTTAGTTACTACAGATTTGGATTAATGATGTGAAATATAATCAACTCTTAAATCAGACTTTAGTTCCACCTGGAGTAAATTCACAAGCTACCCTGCAGTATACAAAGTCATTACAACTAGCTGCACCTTTACCAGCTTTGATAACACTTTAATGATCAATAATTATAATCAAAACATGTATATTATATTATTCTCAAAATTGGAACAATCTTCAGAATGAGTACTAATTTGTATGCCAATACTTGTGTACTTTTACTTTAACGGAGTATTCCTACAGTACACTCTGGTATTTCTACTTTTACTTAAGTACACAATCTGAGTACTTCGGCCTCCTCTGTTGGCCAGCCCTAGAAGAACACCTATCTATGTGATTGATCTTTTCTTTCTTCAACATGTACTTTCTTTGTATGAGATACAATGTAGCGTTTGTATCGGGAGATTTCAACTTTAAAATAGCAAGCTTGCAACCCTAATTTTAAACCCCTCTATCAATATATCAATTTGGCACAAAGAGTGCAGCCTTAACACATTATGAAAATATTTTCTCTTTTATTTAATCTAGCAACACAAAACTTTCCACATGTTACAAAAGATGTTTAAATAAATCTGCAAATCTGGAATTCGATGAGGTAAAAGCAGAGTTATCAAAGGCACATTTCTCCAGGGTTATTATCCTAGTGTCTATGTGTTATGCTCAACTTCAAAACACCATTGTACTACTGGCAGATAAACAGAAAAAAATAATAGCCTTCCTCAGGAAAGCTGCTTTGCGTACACACACACATTAAATTATGCAATTGTTATGCTAATAAACATGTCAATTGTGGCTTTACAAGTTCCAGATAAACTCTGTCCTCGCCACATGTACCTTTAGTAAATATTCCACAGTAGATTCTGAAGCTGAAGTTATGAGATATGTGTTCAAACTACTTGTTGGAATCATTAATTTCATGCTTCACATCCTATAACAGCTGCTTTTGTTTTTCTCCAAAGCTGCTTTGATGAGAAACAGAAACTGGCTGAGGCTGTGTCATGTGGATGTCTGTGAGAAACTTCTTGGATGCGACTTGTGTTAAAGATCTGCTCTTTGTCTTAAGGTGAGAGGTTAGGAGCAGCCTTTATAATGTTAATGTTTCATGACGTTAGAAATAAGATTGATTAATATGAACTTCCACCTCTATCTTTAGCACTCTGTACATGTGGGACACCAGCTTAATATAAGCACTTACATCGTTGTAAATATAGAGGGATAATGACGTGATACTTCATCATTACACTCAGGAGTATTCTGTGTATTAAATGTTGTTCATGCATTCTCTCCCCTCTCCATCGGCACACAGCTATAATTGTTATACATCACTAATAATGTGCATCTGTATTAATGACCTTGTTTTTCATATTCAGCAGAAGTAAGGTGATCGTTCATAATCTGAATGTTGGCAGGTATTCATAGTTTCTCGGCCAATAAAAAAGGCAAATAGATCGCAGTCCAATAACAACCCCAGCATATTGAACTCTACAAATCATCACACTGTGTCGAGACAGCTCGTGTGTAATTGCCAGCAAATACTGTGACATTGGTAACTATTAAAAAGTCATTACTTGAAGTTCAATGTCACCTTAAACACTAAGTGTTTTATCCACAATAAAGATAGAAATTCAGAATACACTGTACAGTACAAAATACAATTTCATCTCCCTTTATATGCCGTCTAAAGTTGGGATAACAAATATACTAAAAAACACAATATATAATACAAGGGTAACATTTATGGGCTCTGTGAGCAAAATTATTTTAAAAGCAATATCTCTCGTCCAGATAAGTTCTGCCCTGCAGTTTCAGCGCTGCTTTTCATTCAGAAGAGTTCCAGTCCTCATTATTATTATTACAGCCGCAGGTCCAAAACGAAAAATGCAAAAATATTTAGTTTGACACCATGCATTGTGCTCAAAATGTGCACACATTTCATGTGAGATAACCCACCTATTTTTGTCAAGTTTGTGAATCTGTGTGGAACAGAGATCAGTTCAGGTGAACCATGCATTACTTCCTCCTCGTGGCTGACTTCCAGTTCATTGAGGGGAAAGGTGAGCAAGCAACAGCAGCACAGCCATCACCACTGCTCTGGGGATGGACCAGGTTGAATAAAAAAAAGATTTATTGGATGACTCCCACAGCCAGCGAAATGAGATGAGACTAGAGGATAAAATAGGAAGCGTCCCTGTAATGTTATACATAGCCGTTTGGACGGTCAAAGTTCAGAAGACTAGGAGAAGTCCAGGGGGCGGATCATCATGGCCGTGGCTCGTAGCGAGTAGCTGGGGCCCTTGAAGTAGTGCCACTTGATACCGTTCAACTTCCCTATGTGTTGCCCTTGGGTGAAGTACATGCCGTTAAGGTTGGACGGGCCGCAGGCATCAAACCACCAACCTGAATAGAGAGAAGTGGGGAAAGAACAAGGACAAACAAAGCATTTTAGCAACAGACAAGGGATTTCATTAAGTATTGTTTTGTCAAGGTGTTGATACATTCACCTTTATCATAAATTGTGTCCTTGGTAAAGGTTGGAAGTTTCCCATGGCCTCTCCCACTGGGCCATGGGACACCATTTCACTGCTATCTGCTCAATGTGTTACTGTCACATGGTTCAGTGGCATGCCAGTACCTGTTGCTGAACGCTCTCCGTACCTCGTTCTATTTAAAGCAAAGAGTGTGCATGTGCACGAGCTCCAGCACAGCAGACATCAAAGTACTGAATGCCATGGGAAACTTTTATTCTGCTCCCAAGGTGACTCATTTCATACTTTCCCTAAAGGATATCTGGCACTAAAAAGAGAGAGTAGACTGCTTGGACTTAAAAGGTCTTTTATACAATTGAAGATGCACATAGGCTTCTTGTCTTGGAAGGATTTCAAGACATGTATTGCTAGTTCTAAATGTTGTAGCTCTCTCTCGCTAAGGCCATAGAAGCAGTTAACACTTTGACAAGTATGGAGAGGCGACCTTCTCTCATTATCGACTAAATCTGTGGAAAAACCCTGCCCATAAATATCCACCATGCAGCTTCTTTAGATTCCTAAAGACAGTGATCCTCACTTTTATCTTACCTTGCTTAAAGCTCATTTATATTTAGCCTAATTGTTTTGTTGTGTTGTGTTGGCATATCTTACCTGCCACCTTTTGAAATTGAGTATATATATATATGTTTAAAGAATTCAAGTGAATATACTTTATGAATAAAGTGTTGCCATGCTACAGTATTACTAATATGATATATTTCTGATGACAGATGTACTAAACGTATCCATTCCATCCTAGATATCTTTCATTCATCTCTTATATCTGAACAGGGAGCAGGTCCTCACGGATACAGTCAGATATAGAACATATGCGAGGCATGGCACGTGTCCGTCACAGTGACACATCGTTGTGCCTCTCCTCTCACATTTGAATACCACGTCGGCCTACAGCCTGACTTTTCAAAAGACCTGTCAGTAATCAGGAGCAGTGTTCTGCCCTTGTTGCTAGCAGGGGTCGCACATTATACATTTTACATTTTACATTGATGGCTGCTACAGCATAAGACACGTACACAACATAGCATGGACACTGGTGGACACCTCTTTATATTTCTACAGCTGTTTAGAGTTTCAGGATGCTGAAAGTAGTTGGAAACAGTAATGCAATTGCACTAGCTTTTTATAGGTATAGCTTCTCAAGCTGGGGAGCTCTGTCAGAAGAGGTACCACACTTGACACATGTGTTGATGGACCAAAAATGGGTAAAGGTTCAATGTGTAAATGTTTTATTAAATTAGAAATGGAATAAATAATTATGCAGAGTGAAAAAGTTATCGGTGGTGGTGACAAATACACATGGATTTTGTCAGAACTGTGCAGTTCCCTCATCTATAAGGGCATTTAGCCTCTTTAATATTATTTTTTGCAAATAACTCTAATTAAGCCACTTTCAATTCCCCACAAGAACAAAACAGAGCTACCGGATTAAAATTACAATGTTCTGGACGTGTAAAAATGCAATACGTTAAACACCTTGTTTGTAGCTAATATGTTGATTCTGTGCATAACATGTGTTTCTACCACCCTCTAGTAGCCCTGAAAACGTTCAAAAAGCTTGTAAGATATAATTAAATCTCAACAGAATTTGTTCAAACCACTTGAAAACCAAAAATGTTGAAAGTTAGAGAGAAATAGTAGACAGTAGCAGTAGTACATCTGGTGTTGTGTGGTTGATACATAGGTGGTACGGGGTTTGACAGCATGACAAAGTGCAACCTGCCGTTTGATTTGATTGAGACACTGTTTGACCCCCTGTTGAATGCTAATGCAGAAAACAGTGAATGTCTCCCACTTGCCATCCCTCACTTGTTGATAAACTGCAGACCACATGACTTTAATTGCACACATAAACATTCAGTGTGCACAGCAGCAAAGCTTTGGGATTAATGATCGGTACCCTCTCTGTTTCCAGACCAGAGATTTTAAAAGACTTGTAAAAACAGTGGGGATGTCTTCTTTAAAAAAAAAAAGAAGTCTCTATTTCAGTTTGTTCTCATGGGACAGGGATCTCCCTACCTACTACTGTCAGGGCTGAACCCCTACTGTGTGTTCTAGTGCTGTGTAAATACATTACAGTGTGTGTGTGTGTGTCCACAGTATATCCTCCTCTGTACTCTTCACACGGCATGCTGCAGTTGTCCTCATAAATGTAGCAGAAGTATTTTTCCTCTTGTATATTCCAGACACTTACATCATTTAAATGCAGGGAATACATCAACTGATATGCTGTATTTACTGTAGCACAGGGCTGGGTTCGGCCTCCACTCAGGCTACATGCTGTCATGCCTCTCCATTATGGCTGGCCATAGGCAGGCTATGAATCAAGCGGGAGTAGGGGTGTTGATTAGTGATCGGATGCCAGTTCCCTTTAACCCAGTGCATTCAAAATGACCTAAGAGGTAAACCTGATCTTAAATCTGCACTTTAAAATGCTTGATTAGTACCAGGTCAAGACTCTCACAGCAATGGAGCTGCTATGAGGTGACAGCGAGGGTCACCGGGCTCCCCTTACACAGCAGGGGAAGCAGAGTCATTTTAAATCTCCCTGACACTTGGTGCCGCGCCCAGGGATCTTTATATTGTGCTGGTTGCCAACCACAGTGCATGGGTGGGGATGCATATAGAATATAGGCTAATTGGTGCAGATAGAGGTATAAGTGGCCATGTTAGCCTGTTGCAAGCATGTCAAAAGCAGGCTGTGATCACTAATGACTGGGCAGTGAACATGGTGGGACTGATCGTAAAAGTAAATGAGAGAAAATAGCTTTTTAGAATGGCTACATCATGCTATTGTACGCAGTTGTTGCTGCCATAAAGATACACATGCTTAAAGATTCATTTTATGACAACTATGGCATATTTTGTTCTTTATGCATGATTTCTATGACATTGTACTCCCTAATTTAATAGCTGAGAGTGAGAAAGAGTTGCTGAATATAATTCTAATGGGGGAAGAAACAGGAGAACTTCAGGCTTGCTAAGCTTATTCAGAAGAGAAAAGGACAGCAAATGATTAAATGATCATTTCGAGCTGCTTTAAGTAGTGGATCAGGTGACGGTATGTTGCTCACATCAGAGCGGCATGCTCCAGAGAACATTTTGTACATTTGAAATGCATCATTCTGGTGCACTTAAAGAGCAGAATGAAAAGGTCGGATCTACGTTATGAGATATTTGTGTTAACGCTTTTTGTTTATAATTTGAAAAGGATTTTAAAGCACAACAATATTAAACAAACTGTGTTGTATAGAATAGATTTACACACCTTTGTAATGTCCCTCACCCACACGCAGATACACACGCACCCCCCATACTACACACTCATTCACCCACTATCAGCAAAGCATATGGCACGGATTTTGCCCTTTAAATAGTTTTTAAAATAAGCCTAGTGTTCTTTATTAATTGTATTTATTTATTTTTAGAAATACAGAGTGTAAGGCAATTGAATAACTTAATTTGACAAGGAAACTGTGCATTTGACATTAAACACACTGTAATATAAAGGCAAACCAAAACTCATAGTAAACGAGACAGGATCTGCTGCCGTTTGAACTTTTTTGCTGTTTTGTTTTAAAGGGCCCATGTCATGGCCATTTCCACTGATCATAATTCCATTGTTGAGGTCTACTAAAATAGATTTATACTGTGCATTTTTCCAAACTCACATTGGTTTCTCAAACAGCATCTCTGTAAACTACTTGTATTCACTGAATTTCACTCTCTGCCTTTAACGGCTCGTTGTAGCTCCCATAGCTCCAGCCCCCACCCTCCCTGTGAGCACAGTGTGCTCCGATTGGTCGGGACGTTGTGAATTGCACTGAGCTCCGTGGAGGTGTTTCCTTGTTAGCGAAACACAGCCAAACTCATCCTGAGCACACACAAACTCACAGCCGAAGTAAAAACAATAAGTGTGGCTTGATATTGAGTAAGAAAAAGGTTGATAAACGCTGTGAGAATGGGTCTGCAGAGAGAATTTCGCCGCGATCCCAACCGTCTGTTATCAGCCTGCAGCCAGGGAGGAGAAATCAGCAGAGCTGCCTGTGTGTGAGGAAGTCCGTGGATTGGTCAATTTGGACCAATCAGCGGGGGCTTAACGTAACGGCTCGGCGGACATAACGTAACGGCTCCACGGATTGGTCCATTTCGTTCCGGGTACGGCTTGACATCATGCCGTATCCGGAACGAAATGGAAGAATCAAATGGACAATGACGTTTCTCCAACGAGGCGTTTTGGGGAGGTATTTTCTGTGTTAGAGTTTTACTCGCTACAGGGTGTACTTTGAGGGTTTGTGACTCTGCACACCGTTTACATGCATAAAAACCTTCATAACACACAAGGGGACGGGTAATAACCGGAAAAGCATGACATGGGCCCTTTAAGTCTGATGTTTATTCATTTATGTGACGTGTCTTAGGCTGCTGTTTTGATCAGGACTCCCTTTCAAAATAGATTTTGATGGCAGACGGTCATTACGTGACCAGCTAGTGAACATAGTTGAGCATTTAGATGTGTTATTTAAAGAAAAATGAATGTATGATTATTCCCACTGTGATGCACTGTCGCTGCACTTACCACCAGTGAGCATGAGAGCACACTTGCACATGCAGTTGTCATTGTCCATGTCCTTGGTGCTGAAGTCTGCTCCGTTGATCACGAGGCTGCTCTGTCTGCCTGCCGTCCCACTGTGGCTTTTCAGGAACAGCCTGAAAGACGGGAGGAGGAGGAGGGAGTCAGGACATGAAAACACATCAGGGGGAGAGGAGTGTGCTGGAGTGAGCAGTGCAAGCAATAAAGACAGCAAGGAGACATAACATGCTGCAAGAAATGTCTCCAGAGAGGCATTTATTTTTTATTTTGATTAAGTACATGTAGAACACCTGGAACAACATTAGCCGGGAGGACAGAAGATCAAATAAAGAAGGAAATAAAGAAAGATTATTTAAAAATATTACAGATGGAAAGTGAGGGAGACAGAGAGGAAAGAGCATGTAGTGTAAGGAATGTCTGGGAATCACATTTCCATCCGCAGGGCTAGAGTGTGTTCGTTCACACCTTAAATACTGACTGACTAATACACAACCTGTCTACATGGTTTCTACTGTTTTACAACATTTAATCATTTTATGAAACCAAACATACTGCTCTATTTTTGCTGCTAGGCCATCATTTATATATATTATCAAGCCCAATTCAAAGGATGTTCTATTGAAAAAGCATTACGATACTTGTGCAATAACTGGAGTGCACACTGTGCCGAACCTTTACGATGAGACTAAGCTTAACATCTTAAATATGTACCAAATTAGACGTTTTAAAGACAGTGGTGAATTGAAAGGCTGGGGCATCGTACTGTTGATTTGAACATGGAGGCATCTCATGACATCCATCTATTAATTACCAATATAATCGGCTGAAGTACATAAGTACATCATTCTAGCAAACTTACGTTAGAGATATACTGTATATATCTTAAAAAAACAAAAAACAGAATGTTAATAGTTATAAAGTAAGGGTTTCTGAAGTTGGTGTCATCGCCTTTATATGTTAAGGTTATGCTACCCCGTTCCTGTACTTGTCCAAAACAAGTCAGTGCTGTGAACAAATGTCAACGTGCATCTTTCTGTTGGCACAAACTTTCCTCTGAATATCTACTAACAATACAAAAAGTCACATGCTATTAGTTGAAATTTCGCAATGGATTTCACATGTGCTACAGAAACAGAAAGCTATTGTTGAGTGATGGTGTTATTATACATATCTGCTGGTAATCACATGGCTACTATCCATCCAATGCAAGATTCAAAGAGATAGCAAGTACTAATATTCCTTGCCAACTTTTCACTCTGAGGATTTTTCCAACAAACAGCATGTCCATGGGAATGATAAGCCGTCACTCCCATGTTGAATTCCTTTACACCCAACACACTAATTGAAAACTGATTTATTCTGGGTATGTCCCACTGTGAACTCACTCGAGGTGTGAATGGGAAGTGCTGCAGGCGGATCGGACAATTCCTTCATCCCTTCGCCAGCTTTACAGTTACACGCCTTCCCCTAACCTGTTGCATCACACGCTTGCCTTTCTTCTTTTAATGTCTGTTTCTCTCACGCCCTCTCGGTTTCACTGTTTCCCAAAAGAAGATGATTGCACATCCAAAGAGTGCCAATGAGGTCTATATTATTAAGTACGGTTCACTCCCAGGGAAAGCAATTTCCTGAGTTCCTTTCTTGACAACAGGGGACCATGGGGCGTGAAGTGAACCTCGCACCCAGTTTGGGTTTTCCGATGAGAAAGAAACAAATACAAAAATATGTTATGCATTCAGTCGACGCTCTGTATGCACCACCAGCCTTTGTGAAGCGTGCAGCTCCGAGGCGTCAGCTTGAACAGCTCAAAGAAGGAGACTGGAAGACTCCCCAGGAAACAAAGTCATTTAACGTGAAAGACTTCTGTATTTGGACAGCTGTGTAAATGGCTGATTTGTACAGCAGAGTAAAAAGTGTGACTGCGGGTCACCGTAGGGAATTCACTAAGCCAGTAAACCAATACATTGTAAGGGTGAGTCATGTTTCTAATCAGTGGCACCAAATGACCACTGGATATGGCAAGTTTGGATAAGGGCCTGCGAGTATATTATAAGCACTTGGGTGTGTGTATAAATGGGCAGGTTTCTCTCTGTGTGTGTGTGTGTGTGTGTGTGTGTGTGTGTGTGTGTGTGTGTGTGTGTGTGTGTGTGTGTGTGTGTGTGTGTGTGTGTGTGACACATGCTGAAGTATTAACCGTTGTCTACAAGGCAACAGATGTCTCACACACCGAGTCACTTACGGGTAAGCATGACTTCTATCAGCTAATTCCTGATTCTGAGGAATAAAACATGCAATGTCAAAGATGAGGTCTGCTACCGCTCTGATAAGGAACAGACTGTGCTCCACGTTAACCCTCCGTTTTCCAAAGCTCTCTGTTGCGCTGACAAATCGCCAAGGAGCATCATGAAGAGGGATTTTCAGCATGACACTTTGACAGGCTGCTTTAAATAGTCTGCGGCTGTGTTTACAGGCTGCGCTGCATATTTACAGGACCAACAATCCCCAACTCAACTGACATCTGCAGTTTTTCCTGTCAGGATCCATTATGCACTCAAATGATAAGTGGGGGAATGAAAAGATAGACCAAGTAATGAACTCAAGAGGAAGAGATGCTTTTCCTGAGGCCTGTTTCTAAGAATGAGAGAGAAAAAGACAAGAGATGTTTGTAGTAAATCATGTTAATGAAATGAATCAGGGGACAGACATCTGCTCAGCCCGAACAGGAACTTAACAGGCAATGCGTGCAAATCAGATTTTTCCTATTAAAGTTACTTAGTTATGTCATTTGTCAAGGCTCATTAGTAACCAACATATTGAGCTGTGAGCAGAATCATTTGGTTTTACTCAATGACACCCCTGGGGAGGGAGCTTCACGACCCGCCGTGTAATTATTCCAATATCAACCCGGGAGGCCGGCTTGTTTGTGATCTTCTGACACATTCAGAAAGTTGAAACAGCAACAGTGCATGTCCTCATAAGCACAAGTTCTCTTTTTTTTTTACATTGATCTTGTTATGCATATAGCTTTTCCTCCCTTATTCACCAAGATATTAAGACTTCCAAGCTGATACTTGATACCTGCTGATACTACCCTTGTGAACTTAAACTTTTACGATTTTATAAAGTCATAAAAGAAAGTCGGCCATCATTAGCCAGCTAAGAGCTAAGTCACACTTCTTATGTGTTAAAATGACATGAGGTAAAAGTGTTTTCTAGTAGTTGAATTGGTTAAAAAGCAAGCTAGGCTAACTAGCTATCATTTTCTGAGACAAAGGTAGTTAGCATAGCTTGCTATCTCCAATTTCTACTGAACAATCACAAGGGAATCTCCCAATTTTTGAATGTTAAAAGCTAAATAACTAATGCAAGACACAACACTTAAAGGATTGACATGATGCGTTCCGCTTAGTATCAGTGCATCTTATAGCAACATAAGCAATCAGATGCTGGCTAACTGCTGCCATGGGAAACGCCAATCCTGAATTTGAGATTCCAGTTCCACAAATTATTTTATACATTTGAAAAATGGGAATATAGCTGCAGTATCATTTTAGTTTATATTTCCTTAAGCAAGAGTTTGGGAAAATTCAAATGGCAGTAAGAGTTTGACAGAGAGCAGGCATGTATCTAAAGAGAGGGCTCAGGTCATTAGAGGTAATGAAGGGCTTGTGTCAGCAGAAAAAACATTCCAATTATAACTGTTTACAGCAGATCAGTGGGGCATTGTTTCAAAAAAACAATGCTGAACTTTTATAGGTTATTATCCAATTGTGTTTAGCAGCACAATTACAATTCCACACATCATTATTGTATGAGGCGTGGCTGCAAATGTCTCCAACTGAGCAACTTCAAAACTTGGGGTATATAAAACTATTTGCACGACTATAGTTCTCTCTAACCTCTCACAGAGAGAAAAGTGTTTTTTTTATTCTTCTCAGTAATTTTAGGGGAAAACATGCCTTTAAGCTTTGATGCAGATTCAATTTTCAAAATGAGTCTATGCTCTGGGAAATTCATTTCAGGAGGGTCAGGTGAGGAATCAGATGACTGAGTTATGTTTATCTGAGAGCCCTTCCAATTCAAACTACGATACAATGACTGATATGTTATCCCCATCTATCTTGACAAACATTATTGCTAGACATTATTAAAATATTTACAGCCAAGACAAAAATTAAGGCTTCCCACTTTTGAGTTAACTTTTGTTTCCATTAGCCGTGTTTTTTTATAAATGTCCAAGCTTTCACATAAAAATACAAGCATAACATTAATATAAAAAAAGAAACTTGTGAGTTGGAATTTTACAAGATAAGAGTTTTGTTAGACATGCCAGTCTCCTTAGAAATCGCCTTGAAAAAGCATAAATCAAACGTCATACTGGTAGAAAAGCAGTTAATTTAATAACAGAAGTGCCTATGAATGACTCCTTGGAACTGGTCTTTCCCAAAGTGTGTCACTTTCTCCCCACACGTAGACAATATGTGTTGCATTACAGCTGAGCGTGCTGGGATTGGTGTGGGGCCTCAGATCTGCTAACGTGTCGCCCATTCGCAGTCTTACTTTTATCTGACACTTCCCATTTTACAACACACCGTGTTACCCTTAACAGAGGATATTGCTGTCACAAAGTGACTTTATACAATTATTTCTCTCGAGATGTAAGAGGAAAAGCTCATAAAACAATGTCTGTAATGGAATGTACACTATGCTTCGCTGTACAAAGTTCAAGGGATACTTTGATGAAAACAACAGTTATAAAAAAATGTAAATGGTGTGAATGTTCAATACAATCTCCACTGAAAAAGATTAAAAAAAATATGCAACTTTTCTTAGCCTGCTTTGGTTTCATTCATCTCCATACATTCAGGCGAAACCCAGTGAGCTTAGGGTCCAGCTCATGCTGTTACACACCTGGCAGTCATTAGCCTCCTGAACTGCAGTCTGATTGGCCCATTGCAGAGGTTAATCACCCTGACCAATGGGTTGCTTCCTACTGCAAGGCCAAGAGATGAGTGTTCAGGTGTCATTTAGCTCCATTGAGACGCATACAAACCAATGAAAACGGTATGTATAGTAGATTCATATAAGATAGTAGTGTAGTTAATCTTCAGTGGTT